CCCAGATGGGCCTCGCGGGCCTCGACGGCGGCGGCGGCGGCGCGCCACGTGGCAGCTTGCCACTGGTGCAGGCGGGCGGCGGCGATTTCGTCCGGTCCGGACGGACGTGTCCGGCCGGTGCGGGGGCGAAATTAGGGTTTTCGGGGGAGAGGAAGATCCGGATTTTGGGGGGGGGTGTTTATATAGGCATAGAGGGAGCTAGGAGAGTCCAAATGAGGTGCGGTTTTTGGCCACGTGATCATGAACGAACGCTCTAGATGATGGAGCAGAGTTAGGTGGGTTTTGGGCCAAATTGGAGGGGTGTTGGGCTGCAACACACACGAGGCCTTTTCGGTCCCTCGGTTAACCGTTGGAGTATCAAACGAAGTCCAAATGGTACGAAACTTGACAGGCGGTCTACCGGTAGTAAATCAAGGCCGCTTGGCAAGTCTCGGTCCAATCCGGAAATGTTTAATCCCCACACACGAAAGAAAGCTAGAAATGACCACCGGAGGAGAACGAAGCGCCGGAACGCAAAACGGACAACGGGGAAAAAGCTCGAATGCATGAGACGAACACGTATGCAAATGCAATGCACATGATGACATGATAAGAGATGCATGACAACGATAACAACACACGGAGACAAGACCCGAACCCGAGGAAATAAATTAACTTAACGCCGGGAACGGCAAGAGTTGGAGTACAAATTGGGAAAGTTACATCCGGGTGTTACAGTTGTTGAAGATGTTGGTGAAGATTGGCCTCCCAAAGATGAGAGGGTTGTTGGTGATGACGATGGCTTAGATTTCCCCCTCCGGAATGGAAGTTCCCCCGGCGGAATCGCTCCGCCGGAGGGCAAAAGTGCTCCTGCCCAAATTCCGCCTCAAGGCGGCGGCGCTCCATCCTGAAAGTCCTCTCCTTATTTTTTTCTAGGTCAAAAGACCTCATATACCAGAAGATGGGCAACGAAGGTGGGCTGGGCTGCCCACCACCCACCAGGGCGCGCCAGCCTAGCGCGCCCTGGTGTATTGTGGGCACCAGGCAGCCACCCTCCGGTAGTTATTTGCTCTAATATTTATTATATACTCCAAAATAATTCTCCGTAAAATTTCAGCTCATTTGGAGATGTGCATAATATGCATCTCTGACGTAGCTTTTTCAGGTCCATAATTCCAGCCGCCGGTATTATTATGCATAAAAGCATTATAAATAACAGTAAGAAAATATGATGCAAAATGGATGTATCAATCGATGATCTATTTAATTTTCGGTTTAAACTTTCCATCAAATCCAAGCCTTCTCTATTGTTGTTTCTGCTTTTAATCCTTGTAATTAGCACATCTAGCGAGACTGAACCTCACTTGTTCCATTGGGGGCCATGGCAATTTTGAATTTGTGAGTGCAGGTGCAAATCATTGGTTGTATTACTAAGATCCTATTGGTTCATAAACCTTGAGGCCGCTTAAGGGAAATTGTTGCTTGCTACAAAACCTTGCACTTGGAGCCCTACACCTTCCTAGTTGAGAGGAAGCATCACCCTCATCGATGAGGAGAAGGAGTGGGATGATAAAAAAATCATGTTAAGCATTAGGTGGGACATCCACATAATGTTTAGCATAATTTTGAGCACATATAATATGAAAAGTTGCTAATCAAACATCATCTTCGTCAATCTGAGCCGCCACTGTCGGTATTGGACCCACCGTCGAAATCGCACTCGTGAGAACATACCCATGGCCCCGCCTTCATCTGCCTCGCCCTTGCGCTTAGACCCCTCCTCCTCACCGCCATAGAAGCTGAGAAATTGGAGAAGAAGAATGAAGCCAAGGCCATATGAGTCCCATATGTAAGAAAGTTATGAAGACTCGGATATGGCGACTCCGGATTTGCTTGTCGACAGTCCAGTCTCCAAAACATTAGAGCGTGCTTCATATGCAAGATAGTTGCGAATATGATGACTCCACCGGAGTTGTCCTTGGATGTGGGTTTAGAAATAGAAGGACCAATTGTCAAACAAAAAGAATGGAATCTGGGATGGTGCTTTGAGATTGAAATTAAGGGTGTGTTTGGTTTATGCCCAAGGTTGCCCCACCAAAGCATTGGCTAGACAAAAATTTGGTTAAGGTTTTGGTTGCCCATGATTTGGCCAACGTTGGGAAGAAAAATGACCTAAAGTTGGCAAGAGTTCACTGGCATGCCAAAAAGTTGGCAACCATTCAAACAAAGAACAATCTTTGGGTCATGACCAAAATTTTAATAGGGCACACTTTGGCCATAATGCAAACACACCCTAACACGCATTACAAATTGGAGTGTGTCCTACCTGGTGAAACATACGACTTTGGTCATATAAGAATTTCCCACATACACAGGGCCTTGTGTGTGGAACGTCTCTTCTTGGAATATCAAAGTCATCTCTCCCCATTTTAAATTTCGTCTTCATATTTTTTTTCTGATCTATATGGCATGGCTGATAAATGAGTCAAAGAGACCTTTTTCACAGGCGTTTTCTCTCCTTTCCCAAACGACTAGCATGCTTTCCCCTCCAAGCTTTGTTGGCGAGCCTGTGAATTCGTCTTCCATATGCATGTCACTTCGATAGCCGCTGGCAGGAAGGGGCATCTCGGTGCCTTCGCTCCGGCTAGTTATTTAGGTTAGTATTTTTATCTTCGCAGGTGCAACACTCGGGCGGATGGTGCTTCTTCTTCTTCGAGTTTGTTTTCTAGGCTCCGACCCTCTTTGAGTTCGTCCATCTGGACGTACCGTATAGGTTCATGTCGTATCATTGGGGCAGCGAGGTTTGGGTTTCTAGTTGTATGTGAACGATGGCAAGATTAGGTGTCGGTTGCTTCAAATCTATTCAAGCTTTCAATAACGACGACCGCGGCTCTTCGTTAGGGTTACACGCCCGAAGATTTTCTGACAGTCGTCGGCAAGGTCAAGCCGGCTCCAGTAGGAGAGTGTCGACAACGACTCGTTCCGACGGCGGTAATGATCATTCAATGATCTAGAGACCTTGATGTACTAATAAATTTTATATGTGTGATTGATGTGCTTTGTCTTTTGATGATCCTTACAATGGATCTTTAGTTTTTGAGAAGACATGGCCGATCCAAATTTGCAATTGAGACCCTAACGGTTTCATTTGCTCAGCTCGTGCACTGCAGGGCCAGGGCCATGGCCGTAAAATTATAGACGAGCAAAACTTCCCAAAAGAACCCCTCGTCTTTCCCCTCTCCGATCCACTCCTACAACCTCCGATCTCCCCGGCGTCCAAGCTCCTCTCCAACCTCGGCGCGAAATGACCACCACCGTCGGCGCCGCGCCGACGGCAATGGACGAGAAGGCCCGGCGCACGCGCGATCTCCTGGCCAGTTTCTACAACACCGACCCCGCGGCCGCCGGCGCGGTTGCCGCGTCCCCGGCGCGGCCCTCCCCCACCGCGGCCACCGCGTCGCCGCTCGAGTCCATCAACTCCACCTCCTTCAACCCTGATGTCTACATGGACGTCCTGGTTCGCCCACATGCTCCCTGCTCCCTCTATACGTGGTCTCCCAGATCCAGCTCTCCGTGTCTCGGTCGGATCTTATGGCTGGGCATGCTTTGGATAGACTAGCAACTAATGTCATTACCTGTAATAATTTCTAATTGATAGCCTCTGGTCACAATTTACCTGATCGATGCACATTGCAGCATTGCGTTGCCTGGCTATAATTTAAAGTATGGGCTCCTTAAACAGAGTTCTGTTTTCATAATTATTTTGTTGAATGATGCATGTGGATGTAAAATGTGTCTCCCTTTCACTGTAAAACCTCAGTTGAAGTTATGTAGAAGCTTAATCTGGAGCATGGTATCTAGGTACATGTGATGGTGTTCAGCACTACTATCATTTTCTGCCCTGTAGCTTAGATTGACCGCCATTCTGATCAGTGGAGTTCCTGTACGAGTTACAATGAACTATATTTGAACTGGTGAACAGTATCCCATTTCTGTATCAGTACCGCATAACTTGCAATATTCAGTTGAATTGCTCGAGTTATCTACACTATTTCCTTGCGGTGTTGGCTTGCTGTGAATAGTTTTATACGAAAGGCGAAATGGTTTTGTTTTTTCCGAGACAAACTTTGTCTGTTATGGCTAGTGGTTATTGATTATTAAGACAGCGCAGTAGGACACATGGAACCAGAGTTTAGCTTGGCAGTTCGAAATTTCAGAGAACTCTGACTTCCTTGTGTTCTGTAGGTGCAACAATCAAATCTGGAAGCCCTTCTACAGAGGCATGTGAAGATGGCTGCCGAGATCAAGAACCTGGACACAGACTTACAGATGCTAGTATATGAGAATTATAACAAATTTATAAGTGCAACTGACACTATAAAAAGGTGATGGTATTTCCTTCACTGTGATAGCTCTCTGCTCTTCCTTCTATTAGTGAGTTTGAGACACTAGTGCTATTACGTGCTATAGTGGTAATGTTCTTTATGTACCTATGTTTCTCCTGCAGGATGAAGACTAACATTGCTGGTATGGAGACAAACATGGAACAACTACTTTCAAAGGTTTGCCGTTTGCATCGATGTTGTTGATGTACTTCTTGGGACATAGTTGAACCAATCTGCCTTTATTTTTGCCAGATAACATCAGTGCAGTCAAGAAGTGACACAGTGAACACATCTCTGTTCAACAAAAGAGAAAACATAGAGAAATTACACCGAACACGCAATCTCCTCCGGAAAGTTCAAGTAAATCCTGTTCTATTTTTGCTATTCTTCTCAAGAACTAATAATATATGCAGAACCGTTTGTGTTGTTGTCCTTGACAAACAATGATTTATACATACAAGTTAGGCTATGTGGATCCCAGCAATTGCAATTTGTTAAAGCTAGTGATCTTCCATTGTTTTCCGTATTTAGTCTTAACCTGGCCCATGTTATAGTGGTCCAATGGACCTATGTATGTTGTGGATTTTGTCCTATGTCTAGAATTGAATGTGACAGTTGGCATAAAACCCAGGGTACTGTATAGTTATTTTAAGTTTTAACTTCTGTGTGAAGCAAGTACAACATAACACATAAGTTGTTGTGCATGTTGTAGTTTTTTTTTTGAGGGGAGTGCATGTTGTAGCTTATTTCATTTGGAAGTTGGGTTATGATCATTACATTACTTGTATATCTGTGTGGTTGTGTCTCTTATTTCATAAAAAATGGACCATCCACAACTTTTCCGAAATCAAGTTACTTTATATTACATAGAAACTATGTTGTGCTTGACCACCATGAGTTTTTGTCTTAATTGAAGACATGCTATGTACTACCTCCGTCCTGGTTTATTGGCCCCCTTCGTGTTTTGTGCCAATTTTTGACCATAAATTTAACTAACAAAATGTTAATGCATGTCGCTAAAAATTATATCATTGGATTCGTATTTGAATATAGTTTCTGATGATATTATTTTTGCTATGTAAAAATATATTTTATTGGTTCAAATCATGGTCAAAATATGACCCGAATTATGAGGGGACTAATAAACCAGGACGGAGGTAGATGCTTGTTCAGGACTGCTCTTTCACATATTTGCTCCATGTGCTCTTTAATATTCTATTCAGAGTATTAGCACTACCCGTGAGTTCTGAGTGCTGAAGATATGCAGATGCCAGCAAACTTAAGATGATGCCAATTTTCAATATTTTGTTTGCAGTTCATATACGATCTGCCAACTCGGCTCAACAAATGCATCAAGGCAGGAGCATATGCGGACGCTGTTAGATTTTTTACTGGAGCAAAACCTATTTTTGAGGTTCAGTTCAGCTATTTCCCCATCTTAGAAACTTTCCTGACACATTTTTAGCATTATCTATATAATTTTTCTTTATAGGCCTATGGTGATACATCCTTTCAAGACTGTAAAAAAGCATCTGAGGAGGCAATGGATTTGGTTATACAACAGCTTCAGGTAATTGTCTACATTTTGGCTCAGATTTGAGATTTGTATGGAAGAGCTTAATGTTAATCCTCTATTCCTAAGTAGTTGGAACCCACAATCTATTTTTCCTTTACATGCAGCCATGCCACATCAGCAAGTTATGCATGTCTGCCATGTCATCAGCCCCACTAGCAAGCATTAATAGCTATAATTTTGTGTTCTTGCAATGAGCACATCATCAACGTTGATGTAGCCATTGGATCTGCTATCTTGATCTATCAACATCCGTGTGATCTAGGCATAGAAAGAGCCTCTCTACCATATAGCACGCATTAGTGCAGTCTCAGTGGGTTTTATAATCTTTTATCTTAAGCTTTTTATTTTTATTTGTTTTGCTAAAATTTCCCACATGCTTTGAATCTTAATGAATGGATTTACATTCTATACGTTATTGAGTAATCTTTAATTCCGTGGTAATGCGTGGGGTATCATCTAGTTTGACAGCAATGATGTAAGATTTCAGTCTTCAGGGGTGTTTTCTCCTTGCTACAAGGCATATAATGAGGCATATAATGTGATTCCTTCTATTGCTTTGTTAAATAATTGTGTTATCCTAATCGTATCATCATGTTTACTGATGTTACTCTTTACTTATTTTAAATAAATTTGCAGGCAAAGTTGTATACAGATTCTGAACCTATTGAAGCAAGAGCAGAAGCTGTGGTGCTTCTTAAGCAACTTAATTTTCCTGTATGTATTTTTGCTATCTCTTCATTATTTACATGCCAATTTTGTTCCAATAAGGATGGCAATGGATATTTGCGGGTAGCTGGGCAGGGTTTGGATATTTTTTGCCCCCATAGGCAGCACCCGAACCCGAACCAACTAGTCTTCGGTAGGGCATGGGCATAATTCTATACATGTGGGTATGCCCGAACCAGACCCAGTAGTCTGACTTGTTGGGCAATATTCTCTGATCCCTACCATACTATCGTTTTCTCCATAGTAAATTTTTTATCTAAAAAACAAAGAAAAATTCACCATCGTAACTTACTCCGCTGACTTTTCAAGTTGTGCTATGTCATTTTGTGAGAATCTTTGATGTTGTGCTATGCCATTTCATGTGCAACTTAGATTGAGAACGGATGCATTGTACACTTGTGCTTATTTGATATTGTCGGAAGTGCTGATCTGAAAATTGGTAAGCGTTTTTGTTGTTTCCTGAGGTATCGCGTATACACGTTGAGAGGAGAAGACCCAATGGATATCCATACCCGATTGTTATCCATCCCATTGGGGTTTCACACGGGCATGATTTTCTGTGTGTGGTTTTTTTTTGGGCAGACAGAGTGTTAAGGAGTATTAGTATTAGGTCTAAGAGTCTTATTAGGCTATGTTTGCTTTCCTTGTACCCCAAGTCTTGTGTAATATATATATATGCCCTTTGGGTCTTGCAATACAATCAAGTTGCATCCATAACATGGTATTAGAGCCTAGGTTTAGATCTCCTTCGGGCGCCACAACTCGTCCCCTCTCCTGATCGGATTTTTTTCCGGTCTGTCTCGATCCAATCTTGCATTGGC